TCCGTCGTCCAGGCTGGAGTGCAGTGGCATTATCTCGGCTCACTGCAACCTCCACCTCCCGGGTTCAAGCAATTCTCTTGTCTCGGCCTCCTAAGTAGCTGGAACTACAGGAACCCACCACCATGCCCAGCTAATTTTCACATTTTTAGTGGAGACGGGGTTTTACCATATTGGTCAGGGTGGTCTCGAACTCCTGACCTCAGGTGATCCACCTGCCTTGTCCTCCCAAAGTGCTGGGTTTACAGGCATGAGCCACTGCACCCGGCCTGCTATTGTAGTTTTTAAAATGTGGTTGGATTGTTCGGTAGAAAATATGGTAAGAATTCACGTAAGAAAATGTTACTTATCTAGAAATCTCAGCCCTGTAGAACTCAGTCCAAAAGATAAAAATGATCAACGTGGAAAATAATGTCAATTACATGCTAATCTCCTAAGGCATGGATTCCTCAACCTGAGCGTGCACAAAGAAATAGACTAAATAAGATGTGCCAGTTGATGCAGTCGATCTTTCTAGCTTTGGTAGGTGAAAGAAACATTACTAAATCCGTTTCAGACATTTGTAGCAACTGGAAGCAACTTACAGATGAATGATAGAAAACAGCTTGTGTTTTTATATTAAAACCTCAAACATAGTCTCGGTTCACAGTTCTAAGTAGCTAAGACAGGTCTCAATCAACCTAGAAAGCTTATTTTGCCCAGGTTTAAGTTGCACTCGGGAATAGCTTCAGGAGGTCCTGAGGACGTGCTTAAGGTGGTCGGGGTGTGGCTTGGCTTTACACAGGAGACATGAGACATCTATCAACATGTGTAAGATGTACAGTGGTTTGGTCCAGAAAGGCAGGACAGCTCTAAGTGGAGCCGTGTGTGTGTCAGGGTGGGAAGGAAGGCTTCCAGGTCATAGGTAAATAAGAGAGAAGGCTGCATTCTTTTGAGTCTCTGGTCAGCCTTTCACTGCATACACAATTTACCGTGAGAGAGGGATAGAGGAATAGTCATTTATGCCTTAGTCTAGCTCAGTGAATCTGCATTTTTACATAAACAGTAGGGCAGAAGAAGCAATCAGATACACATCTGTCTCAGAAGGGTGACTGGGAGTTCTGTCTTTCTGTCCCCACCTGTGAAGATCAGCTATCAATTTACACTGCCAGGGTAAAATTCAACAATTCTTAGGGTCCACAGGGAATTTCCTTGTGGGCCAATTGTGAAGGAGATATGTGGCTTTTTCTTTTTTAATCTTTGTAGCTGTCTTATGTAGGAATAAAGTGGGAGGCAGATTTGCCTAATGCAATTGCCAGCTTGACTTTTCCCTTTGGGGTCCCAAGATTTATTTTCTTTTCACAGAACGTTTGAGGGAACACAGCACTCTGATCTCCCTGAGGAGATGCCATATATGTATATACACACATACACTCACACACACTCACACTCTCTTGCTTTGTTGCCAGGCTGGATTGCAGTGGCTCGATCTCGGCTCACTGCAACCTCCGTCTCCCAGGTTCAAGCAATTCCCTGTCTCAGTCTCCTGAGTAGCTGGGACTACAGGCATGTGCCATTGTGCCTGGCTAATCGTTTGTATTTTAGTAGAGATGGAGTTTCACCATGGCCACGATGATCTCGATCTTCTGACCTCATGATCCACCCACCTCAGCCTCCCAAAGTGCTGGGATTACAGGCATGAGCCACCATGCCCCGCCAGGAGATGCTTCAATTATGAAGTTGTCCTTATTCATGTACCACACTTACAGCTTGTTCATTCGAACCCAGAAGCATTTAGGGAATGCCTATACTGTATCCTAGGCATACAGCCATCTGATCTCAAAGACCATACATCCTCATGGTAGGCAGAGGTGACAAACAGAAGATGATTCTGATAGTCCCAAGGGACAGGCAGATGATTAAAATTGGGAATATCATGGAGGGAATCTGGTGGCTACCTACTTGGGGTGGTTGTGGAAAGCCTCTTTGAGAAGCTGATTTGTAAGTGTCAGAAGTGAGCATCTGTAGATCAGGGAGAAAGAGGATAGTGAGCAGAGGCATGAAGTATGGACTGAAATACAGGTTGCAAGAGTCAATTCACTGTATGTTGGGATCACAGAACAGTGAGGTTATGATAATTTGAGAGAATTTGGCATCGGAAGGAAAACTGCTTTCCTGGCATGTGTTGGTGAGTAGGATGTAAATGAAGATAAGAAAATGATTTCAGCAAATTTAGTTGAATAAAATAGATGGGCTGAAATATCTGACAAAATTAGGGGTAGTCTTGGCCTGCCCTAGTGGGAATTTAATAAGTGACAGCTTACATTTAGTGTCATCATGAGGTCAGGGTTAAAAAAATGACAGAATTCATAGATGAGTCATTAGAAAAGTTCAGTCCTGGCTTTCAAGAGGTTTAATGATAGAAACAACAGACATTAACTTTTTTTTTTTTTTTTTCTTTTTGAGACAGAGTCTTGCTCTGTCACCAGGTGCCAGGCTGGAGTGCAGTGGTGCAATCTAAGCTCACTGCAACCTCCAACTCCCGGGTTCAAGCAATTCTCCTGCCTCAGCCTCCTGGGTAGCTGGGACTACAGGAGCATGCCACCATGCCCAGCTAATTTTTTTTGTATTTTTAGTGGAGACGGGGTTTCACCATGTTGGCCAGGATGGTCTCGATCTCTTGACCTCGTGATCTGCCCGCCTCAGCCTCCCAAAGTGCTGGGATTACAGGAGTGAGCCACCGCACCTGGCCCAGACATAACTTTTTGAGACAGGCTCCGGCTCTGTTGCTAGGCGGGAGTGCAGTGGTGTGAACATGGCTGACTGCACCCTCTACCTCCTGGACTCAAGCGATCCTCCTTACAAGCCACTGTGTTCAGCCAGAAATAACATTTTAGGTATAGAAGCTGATGTGGTAAGGGATCTTGTTAGGATGTCACATGAAAGCTATGAGAAATGAGAAGTATGGCTTCCAGATCTCCCTATAGGAAGAGCCGTGTATCGAAGAGCCTTGATAAACTGGGTGGTAGGAGTGGTAAGAGGTCCTGAAATGGTGCCGTGATTCTTCCACACACCTATGTACCCACATTAATTCCTACCGTAAGAAGGCTCTAGGATAGGTGTATGGGGGAATCCAAGCTGCCTTTTAAATAACCACAGACCAGGTTAAGGATAAAATACATAACCGTAGCAATGTTGTAAGAATTGAAAGTAGTAGCCCAGATCAAGAAGAACAGAGCTATAAACACTGGATTTTAAGTTGTGTTTTTTGAGGTGACAACTCCTTTGAAGTTCCCAGATACTTTAAAAGACTCATGATGCCAGAACTCATGTGATGAAGCTGTCATTAGCAAGGGCCTTGTTCATGAGTAACATGGAAGGACCTATGAAGAATCACTTTTCCTGGAGAGGAAAGGGACTTTAAGAATTGCAGTATCAGTGGCTGGGCATGGTGGCTCACGGCCTGTAATCCCAGCACTTTGGGAGGCTGAGGCAGGCGGATCACGAGGTCAAGAGATCGAGACCATCCTGGTCAACGTGGTGAAATCCCATCTGTACTAAAATAAATAAATAAATTAGCTGGGCATGGTGGCGTGTGCCTGTAGTCCCAGCTGCTTGGGAGGCTGAGGCAGGAGAATCGCTTGGACCCGGGAGGCAGAGGTTGTGGTGAGCCAAGATCACACCATTGTACTCCAGCCTGGGCAACAAGAGCAAAACTCTGTCTCAAAAAAAA